AGCAAAAGTGAAGATGGAGATGGGGTAATTCAAATTGGGAGCACATGGCGAGTTGTCTCAAAAATGTGTTCTAACATGAACCTAAGCAGGCTCACTGTTTGCACTGTTGTAGGGAAGTCAGGTGCAGGGGATAGGTTGGATGGCGGCAAGGTGCTTCCACATAGGGCGACCCGAAAACCGTTTACGAATTTGAACTTGTGGGGAAGGCAAACCGAAATCTCAGCAGAAAAACCAGGCTACCCAAATCTGGGCGAAAATTCATCGGGTACGGAAGAGCTCATCCCAGAGACGGGGCCGGATGAAAACTGCTCGACGTTGTGACTACACCTTAGAAGGCATAGCCACTTCTGAACCCTCCGAGCCCTCTTTTATCCGTCGCTTCCTGCCTTCATAAATTCAATTACTTATGACCGGAGACGACGTCAGAGGACAGACTGGCTTAGACGATATTCATTTTAAGATTTGGCTGCTTCGCTGCCTTTCCCACTAGCGCCAAATCCTTTTCCATCCATATTTGATGTCCGTGCGAGTAAGGTCTACCTTTTGAGGGTGAAGAAGTTTTACCAAAAACTCAACATCCACATCATTCCATGGGACTGTGAGCTCTGAATTATCCCACAAAGCATAGAACAGAAGACCGCTGTTCTCTCCTAATTTGGCGTTGCTTGCCATCATCGGGCTAAAGGGCATACTCTTGTTCGGTGTTTTATCCAATCAATGACAACGCAACTCCCCTTAATCCTTTGTGAAAAATGCAAGGCCTGAAAATCATTATGGCGCACATAGTCGGGCTGACGCCTAGCCGACGAAGGAGCCACTGGAACTCTCATCATCATATTTCAGTTAGGTCAACAAGGTTGGACGTAGTCCCTCATCCGTGAAGAATGACTGACGGAGTCACTATGAATGAAGTCATTAAATTCCGAAGAGTGCTTATAATGCCACACATTGGTGGAGCTAGCAGCGTTCCCGATAGCCTCCTCATTAAGCGGCCTTACATCAAGGGAATGCGAAATAAAAACTCTGCCTCAAACTTCAAATTGTTCGCCATCTGAAACGCTTCCTCCCGATGACCTTGGGACACGGAATAGCGTCTCAGCCCAACCAAAGGAGCAGGCTCAATGTCCCGCGTTGTCCCTTCACCAAACCAGGCGAAAGGTACCGATCATGCATGCACAGCATCCTCAGTGGCCAAAAATGAAAGGAGTAGGCTTCCGGGCAAGAATTAACAAGGACTGATAACTCAGTTGATCTTCCCTGACGACGCTTTCACAAGAACTACATACAAATGAGAACTAGACATACCATCTCACTCTGAAAAATTCCCTTTACATTATGCTTCGATTAAGCGAGATTCTATCAAAAGACGAGATGGCCATTTCTTAATTTACAAACTTCCGGCATCTTCTTTATACAGACATTCCCAGAAAGCAGCTGAAGCACTCAGGATTATTTACACTTTTGCACCCCCCTTTCATGTACGAACCGAAAGACATGTTCCGCAAGAGTTGAGGAATAAAATTATTATCACTGAAACACCACTCAGTATTAACTAAATAGGAACGATTTCTGGGAAACTATGGTTTTTCAAAGGTTAATAACCAATAGTTTTGAATGTCTGTGTCCGATGGTTTGTCTTTCAAATTCCCATTATGGCCGATTTGTTTCAGTAAGCGAATCCTCAAGGTCATCAATAAAGTCGAAATGCGGACAGGGCGTACAAACTTTACAAGGTGATACTGGACTGTGGCTAAATGCCGAGGTTTCTGGTAAGGCGCCTGATGTCGACGTGGAAGTATCGTGGACCACGATGTATAATTAACCAGCCACAAAGTATCCACGCCACCCATAGCGGACGCGTCAACGAACTTAGCTGACGCACACATTTGGTTAACTGCCGATGATATCTACCCAAATGGCCAACACGAGCTCATTCAGCCGTACCGGGAAAAGTCTAAGGTNAGCACATGGCGAGTTGTCTCAAAAATGTGTTCTAACATGAACCTAAGCAGGCTCACTGTTTGCACTGTTGTAGGGAAGTCAGGTGCAGGGGATAGGTTGGATGGCGGCAAGGTGCTTCCACATAGGGCGACCCGAAAACCGTTTACGAATTTGAACTTGTGGGGAAGGCAAACCGAAATCTCAGCAGAAAAACCAGGCTACCCAAATCTGGGCGAAAATTCATCGGGTACGGAAGAGCTCATCCCAGAGACGGGGCCGGATGAAAACTGCTCGACGTTGTGACTACACCTTAGAAGGCATAGCCACTTCGGAACCCTCCGAGCCCTCTTTTATCGGTCGCTTCCTGCCTTCATAAATTCAATTATTTATGACCGGAGACGACGTCAGAGGACAGACTGGCTTAGACGATATTCACTTTAAGATTTGGCTGCTTCGCTGCCTTTCCCATTAGCGCCAAATCCTTTTCCATTCATATTTGATGTCAGTGCGAGTAAGGTCTACCTTTTGAGGGTGAAGAAGTTTTACCAAAAACTCAATATCCACATCGTTCCATGGGACTGTGAGCTCTGAATTATCCCACAAAGCATAGAACAGAAGACCGCTGTTCTCTCCTAATTTGGCGTTGCTTGCCATCATCGGGCTAAAGGGCATACTCTTGTTCGGTGTTTTATCCAATCAATGACAACGCAACTCCCCTTAATCCTTTGTGAAAAATGCAAGGCCTGAAAATCATTATGGCGCACATAGTCGGGCTGACGCCTAGCCGACGAAGGAGCCACTGGAACTCTCATCATCATATTTCAGTTAGGTCAACAAGGTTGGACGTAGTCCCTCATCCGTGAAGAATGACTGACGGAGTCACTATGAATGAAGTCATTAAATTCCGAAGAGTGCTTATAATGCCACACATTGGTGGAGCTAGCAGCGTTCCCGATAGCCTCCTTATTAAGCGGCCTTACATCAAGGGAATGCAAAATAAAAAACTCTGCCTCAAACTTCAAATTATTCGCCATCTGAAATGCTTCCTCCTGATGACCTTGGGACACGGAATAGCGTCTCAACCCAACCAAAGGAGCAGGCTCAATGTCCCGCGTTGTCCCTCCACCAAATCAGGCGAAAGGTACTGGTCATGCATACACAGCATCCGCAGTGGCCAAAAATGAAAGAAGTAGGCTTCCGGGCAAGAATTAACAAGGACTGATAACTCAGTTGATCTTCCCTGACGACGCTTTCACAAGAACTACATACAAATGAGAACTAGACATACCATCTCACTCTGAAAAATTCCCTTTACATTATGCTTCGATTAAGCGAGATTCTATCAAAAGACGAGACGGCCATTTCTTAATTTACAAACTTCCGGCATCTTCTTTATACAGACATTCCCAGAAAGCAGCTGAAGCACTCAGGATTATTTACACTTTTGCACCCCCCTTTCATGTACGAACCGAAAGACATGTTCCGCAAGAGTTGAGGAATAAAATTATTATCACTGAAACACCACTCAGTATTAACTAAATAGGAACGATTTCTGGGAAACCATGGTTTTCAAAGGTTAATAACCAATAGTTGTGAATGTCTGTGTCCGATGGTTTGTCTTTCAAATTCCCATTATGGCCGATTTGTTTCAGTAAGCGAACCCTCAAGGTCATCAATAAAGTCGAAATGCGGACAGGGCGTACAAACTTTACAAGGTGATACTGGACTGTGGCTAAATGCCGAGGTTTCTGGTAAGGCGCCTGATGTCGACGTGGAAGTATCGTGGACCACGATGTATAATTAACCAGCCACAAAGTATCCACGCCACCCATAGCGGACGCGTCAACGAACTTAGCTGACGCACACAGTTGGCTAACTACTGATGATATCTACCCAAATGGCCGACACGAGCTCATTCAGCCGTACCGGGAAAAGTCTAAGGTCCAACTTCTGCTACCTGAAGGGCCAAATTTCATTGGCCGTTTTGATTAGTAGATGCGTCATGCCGGGGAGCGTATGGCCTTCCTGGGGCAGTGTTCACTGGGCTATTGATGCCCCTAAATGAGAAACTCCACTACGAGGCAGGTGGCTGACAAACTGAGAGCAATATTTGCCCGATAAGGGGAGCACTTCAGCAGCGACAATTTTTTAACGGCTTGATTGCACAACACCATCTTTAAAAGCCTATTTGCATTACATTATTTCTTGAAACCTGGTGCCTACTGACCATTAGGCAACTAGAATTACGAGACTTGCACGAAAGTCGGGATGTCTCGCTGACAGACAAACGGGCTGAAGTTGATGAGTCTTCCGTGAGTCAAAGCAAAGTATCGTCGTCTTTTCCCTCTAACTGGCGCTCCACAAAATTAACCATGTGTTGAGCTATTAACCCAAAACTGTCGATTGGATTTTCCTGAAGCCAGAACTTCGGACGCGCGCGAACTTCCAGGGCACACTACTGTAAATCTGTACTTTGGTTCGGGAAGATAATAACAATAATGATAATAATATCTTTGAGAACAGTTTGAAAAGCGTTTGTTTGCGGTTTCTGGACGAACCGGAGTCTAGGCACCAAAAATAAATTGGGCATCTACAGACTCACTTTTGGTGAACTCCTAGCACCACCGATGAAAAGCACACGTTTGCGGTTTCTGGACGAACCGGAGTCTAGGCACCAAAAATAAATTAGGCATCTACAGACTCAGTTTTGGTGAACGCCTGAGGAGCACCACCGCACCGCGGACAAGATTCGCAATCATAACAACCAGCATTATGTGTCACGCGGTCACGAAGCACACGCAACCACATGTCCGTGTCCTTGGACAGCTATCTGTGTTGAAGTGCAATATCGTCGACCACAAACGGCAGGTCGCATATGTCAAGCCTAGGGGCGGCAGGATTCACCCCCATTCATTCAATTGCTGAATGATGGCTGTGGCTCTCTCAAGCTACAGACCCTGAAGTTCATGCACCATCAGTTTCCGGCCGCCGTAAGCTGACGGCGATGGCTTTGGAACAAGTTTTGCGTGTACACTTCATTCCGGCGTGTTGTAATCCGTTGGCCATTGTTGGTGGATGGGTAAGCAACTAGCTGCATATTTATTCTGTGCTTATATTCATTCCTCTTTGACCACAGGTGCATTACGTTTGCAATTGTAGTCAGGGCTTAAGTGCTGGACTACCAAGCATAAATCCATCCACGTCCAATCTCATTTAGCTACCTAAATGTAGCGAACTACAGGAGATATTCTGCTGTTGGACTCGATCCTATCTGATACGTCCCCAAATTCGCCAGGCCTTGGAGGGCACCTCAATGGCCACCGAACTGCACATCCCCAGTATGATCGTCCATGTCTACTTTTAGCGGGGGACACGAAATCCTGGAATTCCAATGCCAATGCCCTCCAAATGGATGTAGACGCTGCCAAACAGTAGTCGTTGGACTGGCACCTTCCTCTGAATGACGAGAAGTGCGTCCACACGTCGTTTGAAGGTGACTCTGCGAATACCTACGTTGTGCATGGTAAGAAAGGACCAGAAAACATCATGAAGATAGATACCAAAAGGGATTTGGGCATCTGGGTCTCCCCAAACTTGTCCTTCTCACTGCACCATGAGTAATCGGCCCAAAATGCATTCGCCATTTTACGGATGATCCGAGGCACCTTCTCCCGTATAACTCGCATGGACTTCCAAATACTCTATGGGGCCTACGTCAGACCACTCCTGGAATACGCCAACCAAGTTGTCTAATCAGGACGCACGAAAGACCTCACCCTCATTGTGTCCAGCGAGCCGCCACGAGGATGGTTGCTGGCCTCAAATTCTTGGACTACGAAACGCGTCTCGTGATGCTTGATCTCTTTCCCCTGGAGTGCCGTCGCCTCCAAGGGGACTTAATTCTTACTTATGTCCGGTTTGAACAAAGCTTGGTAAACAGGTTTTTCACCTTCGACCCATCATACACAAGGTGGGTACATATTGAGAAAATTTTTAAGCCCAGAGCACACACATTCATTAGACAAATAGTTTTCTCATTCCGGACAGTAGGTGCGTGAAATGGCCTTCCTCCGACGGTTGACCACGCTCCTTCTAGAAGCCAGTTTAAAGCACTATTAGACGTTTGTTTTTGCGAATCCTCGCGCAGGCCTGCATAATGCCCCGCGCTGAGAACATAAAGAGCAGTGCTACACCATTTTTCACTTGTGCCTTTCAGGTGAATTACATCCGCTGAACGGCAAAACAAAAACGACCCGCAAAACTTGGGCAAAACCCTCGATCCTGTGCATCAATCCGTGAATCTGTGAATATAACGTCAGTTACGAGACGGTTTGGAAACCGATGCGTCAGTGTGATGATGGTACGGCACTGACATGCCCAGTCAGAGGCACCCGCAACTATGTCCTTCGTACTTTTGGTAGGAACCCTCGCACTATTAGACGTTTGTTTTTGCGAATCCTCGCGCAGGCCTGCATAATGCCCCGCGCTGAGAACATAAAGAGCAGTGCTACACCATTTTTCACTTGTGCCTTTCAGGTGAATTACATCCGCTGAACGGCAAAACAAAAACGACCCGCAAAACTTGGGCAAAACCCTCGATCCTGTGCATCAATCCGTGAATCTGTGAATATAACGTCAGTTACGAGACGGTTTGGAAACCGATGCGTCAGTGTGATGATGGTACGGCACTGACATGCCCAGTCAGAGGCACCCGCAACTATGTCCTTCGTACTTTTGGTTAGGAACCCTCGCCCAGGCCTTCTATTTCCTGAAAGTCTTAAAAGGTTCACCTGGCTACAACCGCCTCTAGGACGAGTTCGATCTAACCCGCTGAACTCCTCGTTCGGACCTTATCGTCCCCGTTCTGCGATTTCATCATGTACCTTTCGCATCTTCCATGACTCTTAGGTTCTTATTTCGTCCTATGCATTGGGGTTACCTCTCCCTCGCAAACATCGAAACTCAGATCCCCCTGTCATTGACACCGGTGCATCCACCCAATTTCAGCGTAAACCATACTTTGGAAACGAAACTTACCGTTTTTCTCCTTTTTGAATTTCTTCATCTCTTTATCTCTGGTTATGCTGTTTGTGACCATAGCCATTCACTCAACCGCTCAAAGTCACTCGGTTAGCGACGGTTCCTTTCAGTTTTAGTTACATTAGACCGGCCCCATCAATGAACCGGCCGTATCCCACGCACCATCGTTCTGGGTTCATCCTTTCCAGTCTGCGGCCAAGCATCGCGTACCAAGCTTGTCCCGTCGGTTTTCCCCCCACCTTTGTGTTGTTGTCCGCCACGTTCTAGGTGTAACGTTTCGTCATCCTCCCTCCACACTTCACTAGCTCGATTAATCAACTATTAGCACTTCTTTCCCACACCCAAGCTTTATCCCACCCAACAAATTTATCGTTGGTGATATCAACTTTTCTGAGATCTCCTGGTATTGACACGGATCCCCTCTGCGTCTTTTGCCTCTGTTCACACAACACGATGTTGAAAACTGTCCACAGCTTGTAAGACATCCCACACGCGCTCATCACACCCGATACACTGCGCTTGTCAACGTTCAGCTATGTCCCGTCGCCGAAACTAGCCCGAACTTCCCTGAAAGCAACCATCCTACCGTCGCCATTACCTACCCCTCTCCCGTTAAGTCCCGTCATCATTTCGCCTGGGATCCGTGAAGCTTTCGCACTTTTGTTGACCCACAAAACCTACGACGAGTACTTTCGCTTTGGCAACACGCAAAGCGTGGCCAATATTTTTACGGCAATGTATTATCATCACTACGGCTATTTGATCCCATAGGAGCTTCCTATGTTTCTGCTCGTGGTTTAGCCGCCCTAGGCCGAAAAACTTGTGAAGTATCGTGGGCTCTTAGGAAGGCTCTTCCCATTACCTCACCCCTGTTCCACTTGGAAAACTCATGGGTGAGATTAACACTGCCAAAGTAGCTCTTGAAAACCGCGAGGAGCCTGCCGTCGCAGCATATCCTTTTCAATCTAGGATGCCTGAGCCACTTTCTTCCAGGCGTCGCTCCTCTAACTTCTCTGAAGTCTAAAGTAATGCGGCCGCTGAAATGAAAACTCCTTCTGATCCTGCTGATATCGTGGAATGCCTATACTCCTACCTCGCTAGCCACTAT